TTATATACTTTAGGTTAAAAATCCTAAAAGCACTTATAGTACAGGTTAGAAAAAATTATTTACCAATAAAAAATCCCAATGCCACAATATTTAGTTTATTTTTTTAAATAGTTGGGCGTGGAACGTGGAGGGGAGATGATAAGAATCAGATTGTTAAAAGAAAATATTATAGAAAGTAAAATATTATAGAAAGTTCTGTGTATTAGAATAAGAGAAAAGAACACCATTATATATAATAAAGTAAAACTTAGATAGGTATGGAGATATTTAGAAACCAAATCTTCTCGAGTTATGCTGTCCAGAAAGGAAGCTAAATTTCATATTTTATTTCTGACATTCCCTCTCAAGCTGGAGTCGTATATATCTATCATGAGCAACAATTTCCCCGAGCAACAACCCGGATGATTGCTCCATATTAACTTTCTCAACAAGATCACCGTGTAAAAAAGTTTCTATACATAGAGCAATGCCCTTTCAAAAGGTTACAGAAAATATGCAATCAATAAGTAGCAAAAATTGCATGTAAAAATCGCAACAAGTGGAGATATTAGTTTTCACTCTTTCTATGAACACCAAGTGAGAAAGGCAACATTTTTCTGTAGACCTCTGAGTAAACTCAATCGAGAATTTAATTCTAATATTTTCACGTCGAGGAAATTCATCCTCTGTGGACCTTACAGTAGAATCAGAAATTCAAACTCATTTTCCAGATACAAACTATACATGACAGTGATATTTGGATTATAAGACAGTTCCTTTACAGAAAGACGGGGCAACAGTAAACAGAGATAGAGAATATCAATGAACATTGTCAAACAAAATAATAATAATTTGGAACTCATAGGCACTTTTTTACATGTTATGAGATTTATATATGAATTGAAGCAACAAATAATATTGGAAGTTGGCATGGTTTTGAGTCATAGCCATTATAAGAGTTAGCAATATGAAGGAACCAACATATATACATGAACTAAAACGTAACACGAGATGTTAAAAAGATAATTCATGTATACACAAGGCATACATTTCAAAATTTAACATACCACACCATGGAGGGAGAAAATATGAACACAGTCGAATGGTGCAATCCCCACAAGAAGAACATTGAGCATGGGAGCAAAGCTTATTAAGTGGCTTTCGCTATCAGAATAGTCGATCGGGACTGGTGGAGATAGCAATCTAGTTATAAAATAAACAGTGTGCTCCTGCACAATATTTTATCACACGAAATCAAAGTCACTAACCAGACAAAAAGAGGAAAAAAAGCATAAGAATTAAGCATACAAAATAAGGCAGACTTGGGATAACTACAGAGAAAATACAGGCCATGCATAAAAATGTATTTGCTACCTGAATATTCCAACCACGAATCAAGGAGGCCCCACAAAGAATAGTGGCAGCAGCTATCCTTTCATCCAAGGATCCTTTGACTGCAATCTCAAAGACTTTCTCAATCTCTGCAAAGCTTTTATTAAATCCATGAGCTCGAATTCAGTTGCTTTACTCTTGGAGAATATCACAAACAAAAAAAAAAAATGCTGGAAGAGAAGATATTTGTGAAGAAATATTGGAGTAAGCGGTTGCAGGATACAGAATATTCAAGAATTTTAATCAACAGTAATAAATCCTACATATGAATGTCAGGGCTAACTTGAGTTTTCCAGAAATACACTTCTAAAACCCAAAAAAAAGAGGAAAAAGAAAAAAAAAAGGAAACTGCGAACAGATGTATAGAAATTTGCTATGTACAATTTAAACCCTTTCTGGAAATCCAACTCTAAAACTACAGCGGCTTCAATCTAAAGTAAAAGCACTGTGAATGTATTGTGCAAAATTTCAGGGCAATGAGTTTCATATTATTTGCTGAAATGCTGAATAATGTTAAATGCAGTAATATATATACCTTGAAGCAGGAGTTGAGGCTAAAGCATTGATCATAATGGGGGTGAGAGATGCTCCTTTCATAAACAATGACCAGCCAGGGACTTGACTGGGAATGTTGTTGGGCAGTTGGTTTATACGACCGTTTACATAACCTGGCCAGAAATAAGCTGATGTGTCCAAGAGATTTCTTGCTATGCATGCTTCGACAATTAAATGATGTAGGCTACCAGCTGCAAGAGTATATCACTGCAGATTAGGGTAAAGCTCAATCAACAGAACAAACCATTTTGCTGAAGTATTTTACTTGTGTTAATCAATGATGAGATTACACTATTGGTTGACACTAAAAATAAATGTTCTACGGAAGATGAACTGAAGTTTTACACAAAATAGGTTTATGCAATTATAATCCGGGAATCCTTTACTGAAAATAATTCCATTTCTCGTCATAATAAATGGAGAAACATTCTACGACAGGTAAAATTAATCCAAGCTTAATTAGTAGCATATTTCCTAAAGAACAAAATAGTTGAGCATTCAGTAATCTCA